ATATAGGGGTACCTTTATATGGGGGCAATACGAAGACGTGGACCTGCACAGGCAATTTTCTGGCATGGGCTGAAGTATCCCGGTAAATAATGTCGCTAAAATCTTCAAAATGCCGAATATCAGGGGGTTCGGTATATGGGGGCTATATGAAGACGTGGACCTGCATTGCCCATTTTCTGTATTATGCTGCAGTATCTATTATGAACTTCAAATACCAAATTTGGAACGATTCCGATAAATAATACCGCTAAAATCATCAACATATCGAATATCGGGGGGTACCGTTATATGGGGGCTATATGAAGACGTGAACCTATATGGCTCTTTTTTTGACTTAGGATGTAGTATCCATTACGAACTTCAAATACCAAACGATTCCGGTGAATAATGTCGCTAAAATCATCAAAATACCGAATATCGAGAGGTACCGTTATATGGGGGCTATGTGAAAACTTGGACCTACATGACCCATTTACGAACTTAACCTGCCTACTGGCAAAATAAACATGTGTGCAAAATTTTAGCCTTCTATCTCAATTTGTTCGAAAGATAGCGTGATTACAACAGACAGACAGACACACAGACAGACAGACGGACATGGCTAAATCGTCTTAGAATTTTACGCTGATCAAGAATATATATACTTTGTTGGGTCTGACGTGAGTATTTCGAGGAGTTAGAAACGGAATGACAAAATTAATATACCCTTCATAGTATGGTGGAGGGTATAAAAATACCGAATATCGGAAGGTGCCGATATATGGGGTATATACGATATTGTGGACCTATATAAACAATTCTATTTCAAGGGGGTAAAGTACTTACAAAAGAATTTCAGACAATTCCACTGGAAAATGTGGCTAAAATCATAAAAATACCGAATATCGGAAGGTGCCGATAAACAATATTGTGGACCTATATAGACAATTCTTCAAACTTGACCTGCCTGCAGACAAAACACAGATCTGTGCAAAATGTTAGCTTCCTATATTAATTTGTTTTGACTGTAGCGTGATTACAACAGACGGCCGGAAAGAGTGTCTAAGAATTTTACGTTGATCAAGAATATATACACTTTGTCGGGTCTAAAATTATTATTTCGATGGTTTACAAACGGAATGACGAACTTAATATACCCTCCATACTATCTATGGTGGAGGGTATAAAAAGACCAAACAAGAAGCACAAGTTGTATGTCAAATCTTGACACTGATCATCACAGTCGGTTGAAATGGAATTTGAAAAACCAATTCTTGTGTTTTTTGTTTTGATTTTGGAGTTGTTTTTTTTTTTTCTAATTTTTTGCTCATTTTTCCATAACACATCTCAAAACACACAAATATTTGTGAATATCATCGACTCGTGCACATGTGTGCCCGCAAAAAAAAAACACCCAGACACAGTTCAGCTAAATCTTTTGACCGTTCTTTGTTTTATTTTCCACTGTTTTTTGCAGGCATTTCCTCTGCCGCCAGCTAACCACTGCTGCACCGTGCAAAGATTCTTTTCAAAGATACCCAGTTTGCAGAAGATATGCAGATGATAAGTGCTTATATTGGCAAGAACAACAAACACAACAATGTTCTTGTTAGAATTTTGATTCTAGAATTAGTTGTTGTTGTCATTGTTTTTGATGCTGAGTGTATTTTTGTTTCTTGTAATACCAATGCATGCTAATGGATTCTGGCGATGTTTTTGCCTTTTTTGCTGTTGGATTGGTAGGTACTTCAGTTTTGTGATTTGGCGGAAATCATAAATTGTTGAATGATAAGTCAATGGAAGGTGTTTAAAATTCAATTAACACTGTTTGTCTGTCATTGTTGGTTAATGTTCAAGGTTTTCCAAAGGGTTTTTTTCTTCCGAAGACATAAAAAATAAAAAAGTTTTCACAAAAAAATGGATTCTGTAAAGAAAACCTACTGTTATTCTATAAGACCAATGTGAATACACAAACTTATTTTACATCAATCTCAAATCATATGTCCCTCTATTGTTTGGCTATGTACCATGAGAGGAGATTACAGGTAGTCGCATTGACACAGCTGCTGGGACAATGAACTGTCAAACCGATTTCGAAATTGAAAATTTTGAATGAAAAATTATTCAAATTTGTAGAAATTTTTGAAAAATGTATACCATAACAACCTCCGATTGGTATCGTGTTGAATGAAAATGATTGAAATTTGTTAAAATTGTTGAAAAATGCATATTATAACAAACTCCCATTGGCGTCGTATAAAAAAAAAAACATTTAAAAATCTACTTATTTTTATACCCTCCACATCCCTAAATATTCGTCGTAGACCCCATAGTGTATATATAATCATAATCAGCATAAAATTCTGAGTCGAGTTAACAATGTCCGTCTGTCTGTCCGTCCGTCTGTTGGAATCACAATACAGGCCACATTATTTGACGTAGAGCGTCAAAATTCCGCAGAATAATTTGTATTGTGTCTAGGATGGTTGGTATTGAAAATGAGATATATCAGTCCACATTTTGGTATAGTCCCCATATAACAATACCTCTCGCTATTCGGCATTTTTAAGATTTTTGCCTCACTTTTTCACGGATTTGTCTGAAGATTGTTATTTATAGGTCATAATGGGTCCTAGTTTGTGTGGCAAAACATTGTATGTATAGGTCCATGCTTTGGTATAGCCCCCATATAACGGTATCTCCCGATATTCGGTATTTTGATTATTTTTGCCACATTTTTTTATGGATTTGTCTTACAATTGGAATTGGAAAAATCGAACATTGAATGCCCTCCACCATTTGGAACAAAATTGACAAATTTCAAAAAAAAAAAATCCATTAAAAATTTTGTTAAAATCCTTATATTAGGGTCTTTACGACGACGCGGACTTTTGTTATAAGCCACTACAATGTTCAAATGTGAAACTTAAAAAAGAAATCGGTAGATAATGTAGCTAAAATCATCAAAATCCCGAATATAGACAGGTACTATTATACGAGGGCTATACCAAAACGTGGATCTGCACAGAGAATTTTCTGTAATAGAATGTAGTATCCATTTCGAACTTCAAATACCAAATATGAAACAATTCTTGTAAATAATGTCGTTAAAATCATCCAAATTACCGAATATCGGGAGATACCGTTATATGGTACCTATACGAAGTCGTGGACCTGCACAGACAATTTTCTGTCATAGGCTGCAGTATCCATTACGAACTTCATAAACCAAATTTGGAACAATTCCGGTAAATAATTTCATTAAAATCATCAAAATACCGGATATCGGGAGGTACCGGACCTACATGGCACATTTTCAATCCCAAAAGTCCTGCAGATATTATGTACATTTGAGTAAAATTTTATCAACCTACTTTAATTCGTTCGGAAGCTAGAATAATTTCAACAGACGCACGGACATCACTAAATCGACATGGAATTTTATGCTGATCAAGAATAAATGCACTTTATGGGGTCTAAAATGTATATTTCGAGGTGTTACAAACGGAATGACAAACTTAATATACCCACCATACTATGGTGGAAGGTATAAAAAGCAACTAAGTTCGGCCGGGACGAACAATTCCGGAGAATAATGTCTCTAAAATCGTTAAAATACCGAATCTTGGGAGGTTTCGTTATATAGGGGCTATACGGAAGCGTGGACCTGTATTAAGGGCTAAGTACATAAGAGGCTTGAAGTCATGGCTAGGAATATTTTGTGACTTTTCACAAAGCGATTACAGAGCCGCACTAAAATCCTGCCGTCGTTTTCCATTATAATTTGACATTAATATGCCAAGCCGTGACTTCAAGCGTTTTATGTACTTGAACCCTTAGTAATATTTTGTCATAGGTAGTAGTACTCATTTAGATCTTACAATACGAAATTCGAAACAATTCTGGTATATAATGTCGCCAAAATCATCCAAATACCGAATATTGAGAGCTATCGTTATATGGGGGCTGTAGGAAAACGTGAGCCGATAAGAGCCTTTTTCGAACCTAACCTGTCTACTGACAAAATACATATGTGTGACACATTTTAGCCTTCTGTCTGAATTCGTTCGAAAAAATATCGTGATTACAACAGACAGAGAAACTGACAGTTGGGCATAGCTAAATCGACTTAGCTTTTTACGTTGATCAAGAATGTATATACTTTGATGGGTCTGATATGGGTATATCGAGTAGTTGCCATGGTAAAATTTAGTAGATAAACTCATTTGAAATAAGCATACCCATCTCTACATTTTCTGTAATTTACCTTAGCCAATTTCACTGCATAAAATATAGTTTCCCATCTCTGATATGTGTATTTACAGTGGATAAATAAATATACATTTTAATGAGATGCTATCAAATGAATTATTTTGAAAAGATTGTAAATACATGATTGCATGGCTTTACCTTCTTGATTCTACCAAATTATAGCACAGGGTATAAAAACATTGTATTTTTTCCATATTTGTGAGTGCATCTACGGTGTGTTTAACATTGAAAGCCCTAATGTGTATGTTCAATGTTTCCAAAACTGTCAACAAATTGTACAACACCTCCTCGGCATATCATATACGCATTTTCTATAGGTTCCCTCTTGAAGCATATTCGCAAATACAACACTGCTAAGTTTCGTCAAATAATTCTACGAGAGAAATACCCTAAAATTACATTATTAATTTATTTAAACTATTATAAAATATTAATTTTGTGTAAAACGATCAAAAATGTGTGTCCATAAATAGTATTTTTGGTTCTAACATCACAATTTCTACCCTAAACGTCATAACCCAATCAAAGCCCGCCAATTGGTATAACAACAAAACATTCAAACACATTATGCAACAAAACAACAACAGAGATAGAGCAAGAGAGAGGTTTTCGTCAAAGCAAAAACAAAACAAGTACTCACACACACGCGTTCACATCATCCACATTGAATTCAGCTGCCTTGCTTTTGAGAACTCCATTTTTTTTGACGAAAGAAACGCAACTCAACGAACTAAGTGCGCCACAATTCAAACGCCATTTATTCAAAAGCAAACAGCAACGGCTCGAGTTCAGATCGTAGGTAGAGAGCAGAGATTTTCGTTTTATAAGAATTTTATTTATTATTTTATTTTAAAGAAAACACCTACGTTTTCACAAAAGTGCAATCAACGAGAAATATCGAAAAGAATAGTAACAAATAGAAATAATTAACAATTTTTGTGTGTCATTAATGTAATCAAGTAACAAAAAGAAAAAACTTCAAATAAATTTGTGTGTTTGTCGAGCCTGAACAAAACGTCTCTGTATTTGTGTGTCAGTTTTTATTCTCCTCGAAGAAAATTCTGGGAATAAAAACTTTCAATTAAAATAAACGAAGAAAAAAGCGATCGATTTCAGTAATTATAACAAATTCTAAAGAGGATTCTATAGAATACAAAACAAAAACTAGACAAAAATGGTTGGAACAACTGTTTTAAAACGTGTCGATGAGGTAAGTGGAGGTTTTCCCACAAGGGCTTTAATAAAACATTTTATTTAAAATGCCCGCCATTCGAGGAATGTAAAGAAATCCATTGTTTCCTTGGGAATTTTACCGTTTTGTTTTCGATCAACAACAACAAATATGTTTTTTTTTTTCCACAATTTCCATTGGAATATCTTCTTTTCCTTCGAGCATGTTTTACTTGCGGTATTATTCCCATTCCTTTTGATACAGAAACAACACAGCCAATTGCATGCTGTGATTTGCAACAACAACTTACCCTTATGGCGGCATTTTCAATTCTTGCGTCTACCTCATACTTGAATTGACAATTATCAAATTTCATTGCAAGAATAAGTTAAAAGAAAATCAAAATATTTGCATTTAATTTTCAACTCGATTTATTTTATTATAGAATGAGTCTGCTGCTTTCAAGCAAGTTAAAAAAATTGGTGTCTCCACAACAGAGGTCACAAAAAGAGCCGCATTAGGAGACCTACAAAATCGTGGTGTCGTACGGACCATTACCGCCAAGGATGCAGCACAAAAGGAGTAAGTAATTTACAATCCTCATATTAATGACAGCTGGGGAGAATATAATTTCTTTTGATTATGATTTTCAATTTTTTTAGATGTAATCATTTTTCTCCATTTTCCCTCCCCGGCCAGGGATGTTTAACTTCAATCATTATATGTACACAATCAATCTATCCATTCCATCTGTTATTCTTATTTTCATTTTTGTATTATTCTTTGTTTGTTGTACGAGACCTCTGTATGTAATGGTGAGAGAGAGAGATAGGACAAGAGTAGAATGGAAAACAGTGTTCGTCAAGTTTAACGGCTTTTATTGCTGAGAGATCACGTAGACTTGTTATTGTATGTTAACCCATTGTGGTGCGATAAGTGCAGTTTGGAGAGATGGAATATAAATTTTTCTTTAAATATCTACATTCCAGTATGATCACATCCATAGATGAAACACAAATTTAAATAATTGTTTTATATGCTTAGCTCTAATTTAGTAGGATATCTTGGTTTTTAATTGTTTCTAGAGGTAGATGTTTGTATTTTTTCTTGCGTGACGGATGCCCAGATATTTGGCCCGAAAGTCCGGCTCCCAGATAGATCTACTAAACTACTGCACATGAAGTATGAAAGCTACTGATAACACATGGTCACATGATGGGGGTTATTTAAAACGGTACGGGTGTTATATTAAAAGTATCGATACACTCCACCATAGTATTAAGTTTGTCATTCCGTTTGTAACACCTAGAATTAAGCATTTTAGACCCTACAAAATATATGTATTCTTGATCAGCATAAAATTCTAGGTCGATTAGCCCTGTCCGTCCGTCCGTCTGTGGAAATTACTTCAGCTTCCGAACGAATGGAAGTAGGTTGATAAAATTTTGCTCAACTGAATGTTTGATCTGCAGGACTTTTGGTATAGGTGTAAAATGGGCTATATAGGTCCACGTCCAGATATAACCCCCATAGAACTGTACCTCATTATATTCGGAATTTTTAAGATTTTAGCGACGTTATTCACAGGAATGGTTTCAAATTTTGTATTTGTACATGATAATGGGTACTACAGCATGTGACAGAAAATTGTCTATGCAGGTCCACGCCTTCGTATAGGCACCATATATCAGTACCTCCCTGAATTCGGTATTTTAATGATTTCGGCGATATTATTCACCGGAATGGTTAAAAATTTTGTGTTTCGTCCTAAAGCCTATGACAGAAAATTGACTATGCAGGTCTAGATCTTCGTATAACCCCAATATATCGGTACAGCCCTATATTCGGTATTTTGATGAGATTAGCGACATTATTTACAGTAGTTGTTTCAAATTTCTTATTTCGGACTAACATACCTACTTTTTTACTTGTTTTTATATAAAATCCTTCCCCTAATATCGAAAATTAAAAGGTTTTAAGTGAGTACGCCCAGCTCGATTTTTTTCTGAATCTTTTACCGATATTTTCTTTACTGGTTTTGAAATAGCAAAGTATAAAAAGGAAATTTTTGCATCTTTGGAACCCTATATCTCGATAAGTATTGATTATATTACAATTAGGATCAGGAGGTCTACCTTTACGGAAAATTTCATTTTTTTCCACCTGGGTGTAAACTTAATTTGTTCCAATTAAAATTAAAGTTGACACATGCCACAATATATGTTATATTTCCTGGTTCAGAGATATGAGTTTTGAACCCGGACTGTTGAGTACATTGAAATCATGTTTTCTTTACTTCGTGTAGTCGGCGTTGAACCTGTTATTTAAAAAAACGACATATTTGAATGCCTTTCTTCCTGTTTTTGTTTTGACTATTGTTTTAATCATCCCAGTAGTCTGCTGCAGTATATTCTATATAAACAAACCATTCTTCTTTTTAAATTTCAGCCTGAAGGATACAAAACTTCAAAATGCGTTGCGTGCAACCAAGGCTCGTGTGGATACCCATTGGAAGAAGACCACAACAACGACCACAGTCGGCGGTGCTACACGTACAAATGTTGCAACCGGCGAAATGGCACCTACTGCTGCCGCAGCCCAGCGTAAAGTATTAACCCGATCCAATTCGGTGCGTTTGGGCACCACAACCACCACCGGATTGGGAGGACTGCAACGACATGCATCGGCAAATTCGCACTTGCTTGTCGGGCATAATAAAGTTAAGACGCTGACCACAAAACTGGTCGAAAATAAAGTGCAACAAGTTAAAAGTAAGTTGGGCCCCATATATCTTTAAATCACCATTTATTTAAATAAAAATCTTTATTTTCAGTTATCAACAAAACAACCAACAAGACTGAAACGGATGTCACCGTCGAACCTTCTCTACGTCGTGAAGATAGCAATTTATCCCGTAAATCATTAACAAAAATCAAGGCTGCCATAACACAAAATGCTGCTACAACCAAACCAACACTGGTCAAATCGCATTCGGCAGCTGCCACATTAAGCCGTAAGGAACCAGTTGTCAAGACCACCGAAACAACAGCTACGTCCACCAGCACTAAGTCCGCCGATAATAAACTGAAAATTGTCAGTGTTCAAACACACTCAAGCAAGCTATTGGACGATGTTAAGGACATAGATGAAGGCGATTCGGAAAATTTGGTTTTGGTCTCAGACTATGTAAACGACATCTATTCGTACCTTTTCAAATTGGAAGCCGAGCAGCCAGTTGCCAAAAATCACTTGGAAGGCCAGGCTGAGGTCTACGCCAAAATGCGTGCCGTTCTAATTGATTGGATCAACGAAGTTCATACTCAGTTCCATTTGGCCGCTGAGACATTCCAATTGGCTGTGGCAATAATTGATCGTTATTTGCAAGCTGTTAAGGATACTAAACGATCACATTTGCAATTGGTTGGTGTTACCGCATTGTTCATTGCTGCCAAGTATGAAGAGCTTTTCCCACCAGCCATTGCTGATTTCATCTATATCACCGATGATACCTATACTGGCAAGCAAATTCGTCAAATGGAATTGCAAATATTCAAGGCTTTGGATTGCAATTTGTCGCGACCATTGCCCATACATTTCTTGCGCCGTTTTTCCAAAGCTGCTGAAGCTGAAGACAATCATCATGCCATGTCGAAATACTTTTTGGAATTGGCCATGATTGAGTATGATATGTCCCATTATAAGCCATCCGAAGTAAGTATAGACTGATAATTAACAGATTTTTCGTATAATATAAAGTAGATATTGTAAATGTTAAAAATTTGAACAGTAAGACCTTATTTCACTTAAAACCAGTAAGAGATTAATATTTTCACCTAACCTATTTTCAACCACTCAACGACAAGTGAACTAAACCAAATCCTCTGATTCAATATCGGACAAATTTGGATCGAAATGGAATTGTTTTTATTTTTGCGAATCATCTACTTTTTTTATTAACGATATGTAAAATATGTTTTAGATGTGATCAATTTGAATATTTCAAATAATTAATTTTTTAAACTTCATTTTTTTTTAAAATTGCTTTTAAAATTATTTTTAAATTTATAAAAAAAATGTAAAACCATTAATTATGTAAAATATGTTTATGTAAAATATGTTTTAGATGTGATCAATTTGAATATTTCAAATAATTAATTTTTTAAACTTCATTTTTTTTAAAATTGCTTTTAAAATTATTTTTAAATTTATAAAAAAAATGTAAAACCATTAATCTTTTCATTCCAGATTGCTGCCGCCTCACTGTTCCTCTCCCTAAATCTATTGAAAGAAAATACCAACATGGCCACCGGTTTGAACAACAAACATTGGAACTCGACCTTGGAATGGTATTCACGTTACTCGCCGGAGCATTTAAGACCCATTGCCAAGAAAATTGCCACTGTGGCTCGTAATGCACCAAATGCCAAACTGAAGGCTGTGTATACCAAATATCAAGCTTCAAAATTCCAAAAAGTCTCCACACGTTCCGAATTGTATAGTACTCTAATGGATTCCATCGTTAGCAGTAAGGAGTAGATATAACAATTGTAGTGGTTGACTTTTTCTTTTGTTTGTAATATTCTTCTTTCAAACACATACAAAAGGGAGTGAGAAAAATTTCATCGAAAGAAATTTTAGTCCATTTAATAATGTTAATAAATATTAACAAATTTGTGTCATAAAACAATTGTATAAGCAAATTACATAACTATGCATTATTATTATGATTTAATGTGAATCTAGACATTTTAATGTTGACTGACCACAGTGAGGATCAGAAATCCATGATCATATTTCCAACTTCAAAAAATAAAAAGACCTTAAGGTTTGAGATTTCCTAGATGACACTTTTCCTACTCTCTCTGCCTTTGTCTTTAATAATTGTAACAATAGTTAGCATAATTGTTTAATTTTTGTCCCTACCCCATCCCTTATTTAGTACAAAATTTACCCATTAAGTACGTACTGATTTTTGGTATGGAATCCCCATTTAATTCATCACACATACATAGAGGCAGTTTAATTAATTTAATATTTGTTTTCTTTAACATCACCTTGATTCTTGTGATGTTTGAAAAGAAAACAAAACCAGTAGCTTTGGGAAGTACAAAACGTTTCATTGTTGTCCATATTTCAAACAAACTATAGGCGCGGCGCGGCTTTTTGTTACCAAAAAAAATATATAAATATGATTTGGTTAGGATTTTGTTTAGGTTCGGGTCTTAGGCGCGGCTTGATTTGGCTTAATTTGCTTACATGGCAAATGTATGACTCAGAAAAAAGCAGCTGTATTTTATAGTTTTACTCATGATATTTACAAAACAATCGCATTTGCTGGCTAAATAAATGTTGCGATAAATCTCTAACTTACTATTCTTTTCTACACAGCGTTCCTTTTCTATATGCCTTTCATAAAAAAGATTTAACAACAAATGCTTTGCTTTAAAATTCCCCTAATTTTCTCACCTTTATCTGACTGATTTTTCAATAAATTCCATACGAACATTAGCTATTTTAAATACTTTTTGTCCCATTTATTATTTATATTTTTAAGTTTTTTATGTTGATTCATTAATTTCCCATCTCATTGTCCATTTTATAAATTAATGAGCGTTTTTTGTTTGGTATGTTTATTTTTCTTATGTTTGACCATTTTTATTTTGTTTAACACTGTTTCAAATATGGTAGTCCCTCCGCACACACAAAAACGTCACTTTCGCCACACTTTATACGACCAATATATCCATCCCATTTTATAGCTAAATTTTCCCTAAGAATACGTCTATGCTATGCAAACACAAAAATAATGGTCAAAACGTAGTAGTGTATGTTACACGAATTTCTATTAGAATTTAAGTATCGCATATTTCACACAAAAGCAATTTATATTTTTGTATGTATTTAAAAAACAAATTTTCTCGATTATATATTTTTATTATTTTAATTAATTCATAAAAATACACAAAACATGATATGTAAAACAAGTTTTAAAAAATAAATATAAATTATTTTAAATAAGAGAAAAACAAGAGGGTGTGTAGTTTTATTAATTGTCTAAATTGTTGTTGACACTTCTGGCAAAGAATAAAGGCCGGACCCTGTTTAGGCTTTGGCAATTTCTTGTACATTTTAAATCGTGAAGAACGTTTTGCTTCTTCCCATTGAATTTGGTTTGGAAAGAATTTGCTTGTCCGTCGCCGCTTCAGAAATTTTCGGATCCTCATGCGTCCTCCGTTTTGGGTTGAAGAATTGAATTGTCACCATTGCAGCCCCTTCATTTGGAGATTAGGATTGTCTCTTTCTTTATAAAACAAATAAAGGTCAAGGCCCTACGGATACCCTACACCACTATACATGTTTAGAAGAGTTACCCGTAACAAATAATTAATGAGACTATAAACCTTTATTGAATGCGAATTATGGCTTTAAAGCAGTTATAATTTGGAACCGGAGGGAACTCATATAATTTATAAACTCCACATCGATTTTCACCAAATTTGTGGAGACATTTGTATCTTTATAACATTGTTATCGAGTGCATGATATGGCTTTGAAAAGGATTATATTAAACAACTAAAAAATCAGCTAAGTTCGACCGGACAGACCTTTTTATACCCTTCACCATTGGAAAGGGATATCGCTCAAATAAATACCTTTGTATAAGGGGCTATACGAAGACGTGGTGTTGGTAATGCTAGTAATTTTCTGTCATAGGCTGAAGTACCGATTCCGAACTTCAAATATGAAATTCGAAACAATTCCGGTAAATAATGTCTCTAATATAATCAGAATATCAATAAAGGGAGATACCGTTGTACCTCCGTGGACCTGCATAGACAATTTTCCGTCAGTGGGTGTAGTACCCATTACGAACTCAAATGCGAAGTTTGACACAATTCCGGTGAATAATGTTGCGAAAATCCTGAAAATACCCAATTTCTCGGGGTAGCGTTATATGGGTGCTATACTAAAACGTATACCTACATAGACAATTCTCTTCCACGGGGTAAAGTACTCAAAGAGAACTCATTGTGCGGATTTTCAGACTATTCTATTGAAAAATGTGACTAAAATCATGAAAATACCGAATAACCCATACCATTGTATGGGGCCTATAGGATATCGTGGTCCTATATAGAAAGCTCCCTTTCAGAAGATAAAGTCCTCACAGAGTACTCCTTGGGCAGAATTTCAGACAAATCCATTTAAAAATGTGGTTAAAATCATCAAAATACCGAATATCGGGAGGTACAATTATGAGGGGGATATATTATATTGTAGACCTATATAGCCAATTCTTTTTTAGGGGTTAAAGTAGTCACGAAGAACTCCTTGTGTAGAATTTCAGAATCATCAAAATATCCTATATTGCGGGCCTATATAAACAATTCTATTCCAGGAGATAAAGTACTCACAGAGAACTCCTTGTGTAGAATTTCACACAATTCCGTTGAAAAATGTGGCTAAATTCATCCAAATACCGAATATCGGGGGGTACCCTTATCGTGGGCCTATATAGAAAATTCTCTTTCAGGTGGTCAAGTACTCACAGAGAACTCCTTGTGTAGAATTTCAGACAATACCATTGACAAATGTGAAGAAATCCTTGTGTAGAATTTTAGAAAATTCAATTGAAAAAATGTGCCTAAAATCACCGAATATCGGGGGTACCGTTATATGGGGCTTTTCGATGTCGTGGACCAATATAGCCCATCTTCGAAGTTGACCTGCCTGCGCACAATAGACTGTGCAAAATTTTAGCATCCTATCTTAATTTGTTTTGACTCTAGCGTGATTACAACCGACGGACTTCTCAGAATTATACGCTCATCAAGAGTATATATACTTTGTTGGGTTTAAAATTGTTTCGATGAGTTACAAACTGAATGACGAACTTACTATTCCCTCCATACTATGTATGTTGGAGGGTATAAAAATATATATAGGAGCAATAAGAAACCGAGTTCTACCAAATGGAAAATTCGGTTGAGTGTTTATAAATCCATGCAAGATATGGAAACTATATCTAAATATGAACTGATCTTCATAAAATTTAAGATGGGTATTTCTGCGCTCTGTTTGATATCTGGTACCAAATAACATTGTTTTTAGGGGATATATTGTGAAAAAGAGGGACTTAAAGACCAAATCTATAGGTATATCTGTACCGACAAATTAGAAGTACTTGCTTCTAGGCTGAATTCGTTCGGATGTGCCGATTTACATCCTATTTGACGCATATGGCGTAAAATTAAATTCAAATCGGACGAAGATATATATGGGAACTATCACAAAAAGAGATTTGTGGAAAATAAATAAGACCTGTACTTCGTTTACAAAAATTATCGACAAACAATCGAGTCCGAATGTGATTCTACGAAGATCATCAAAACTAACTATAGGCCTATATCTCTTCCTTTGGCCTGCTATATAAGCTTGTAAATGTGATGTACATTCTATGACATACCTAGGAAATGTTTGGTGTCTCCTTCTGTTAACCATGGGACATCTACAAAGTATTCTTTGTCACTGTCATGTCAATTGTCGTTAAAATTATATTCCTGTAGTGTTGTAGTTTTGAACCAATTTCATTTCTGCTGGAACTTGATAGAAAAGATTATTGCATATGGTCATAAGAAGGTCTAACTACTTGTGTCTGTGACATAGTCGCTCAGCACTCTACAGTTATTATCTCCGCTTATAATAAAACTTACTACTCTTCTCGTCTCTATATACACAACCAAACATAATGTTTTGCATATTTGAGTAACAGCAGCACAGAACTGGCAAAAAGATATGGAAAGCAACATCAAAACACCCTGTATCCCCTGGTTTCCAATCAAAAGTATAGCGATAGAGTAAGTGATTAAGAGAGAATGATAGGCACATAAATTCGTACATACATACATATATGTAGATGCGTATGCCTGTATGCAAATGGTAAGGCTCAATAATTAACATACAGTTACCGGCATTTATCAGTACCGAGGCCAAGAAAAAATGTTATCTTGTATGCGTATGTAGGTACATAAAATATACGAGTAAGAAATAATTTAATTTTTTGCTGGCCGAATTGCACTCAAAAAAAGGAATTAATTAAAGACAAATTGCAGCACGGAGAAAAGCAAACAAAATCGGTTAAGAAGTAACTTTAATAAAAAAATCGGAATCGATGATTCTAAAAGGGAATAATAAGAAACACATTTAAGGAGTACATTAGATGAAGGATGGATTAGTTGTGTTGGCTAAGCTATGTAAGTCTTCTTGTGTTGTTGTGTATGTTTGGCTGGCTTCTTTTCCCTACAATGAATTCAAAAGATAAGCGATAGGAATTATTTGGTGTACAGGGTGATTAAAAAAACTGCAACAAAGTGAAACGCTAAACTTTTTATTTTTTTTTACATTTTTTTGAATCAAAGCAAGAAATGTGGGAAATAGCATCAAATTTTAAAATAAGTTAAGATTTGTTCGAATTGGTCACCTTTGGCACGAATTATGGCCCTTAAACGGCCAATGAAACCGTCACACGCTGCCCGAATGTTGCTCTGCGGTATTTTGGCCCATTTTCGGCGAAGCGCTTGCTTGAGGTGATCGACACTTTGGTATTTTTTAGTGCCCACCTTGCTTTCCAAAATACTCCAGACACAATAGTCCAACGGATTGGTATCCGGAGATTTTGGTGGCCATTGTGCGCTAGAAATGAAGCGA